GGGGAGCAACTATTTTTAACCGAATGTTATAAAGTTACAGGTAAGGAACATCAATTGGAGTTGAGAGAGGTGAGAAAGCGGCCGGCTTGGGCCAGTCTCTAAATAATCAGGGGATTACAGCATACTAAGTCATTATAAAATGATTGGAGTGAGTAGCTACCTTTCTAAGTTCAGCGGCATGAAGACTACAACACCCCCTATGTTTATGAAACTTTATAATCCAATATACGAGAAACAGGTGCAAGATTAGAAAGAAAAGGAGCTGTTTCGAGAGTTCAACGAAAATAAAGAAGAGGGAAACCTCAATAGCCGCGGCACTTGAAATTCTTTTAGGGAGGATTAGAGTAAATTAATCTATGAGACCTTTTTTTTCTATTTTATTAGCTATATTTTAGTGCGCCATCAATACCAAGCGTGGGGTGCGCGTAAACCCGATTCGGTTTTATTACTCACCAGGATTTCTACCAGGCTACCTTCAAATTTAAATTCTTTTAGGTAGGATTAGAGTAAATTAATGTAAGAGACCTTGGGCGTGGTCAAATATATCAATCGAAAGGGTTTGACCTCCCGAGTCCAAAACTGTAATTAGATCTCAAATCAATCGAGAGATGAGCTAAGAGTTTGTACTTGAAAACAAAACAAAACTCAGAGCCGTTCTATCAGCCGCGGTATTGCGGCTGAAAAAACAATCAAACTGAAAATGTGAGAGAGGACGAATTAACCAAGAAAGGTGAAAAATGAAAGTAATGTGGTGGCAGTAAAAAATAAAACCTACTAATAAGTCTATATCTTATTGCTTATCAGTAATAAACAACAATTTGTTATGTTTACATCTGTTTGAGTCAATTCCTGATAGGAATAAGTATAACCTAAATACAGTTGATGGACATAAGAAGGGTTTGCTTGGTTTGTTTTGAATTTCGCGCAAAGCTACACGAGGGCTATCTGCGCTAGCCGTTTCTAATTTAGCAATGATAGACTATAGGGAAGTCAGCTAGTTAGAACTACCTACTGCTAACTCTTGGGCTACTCTTTCAACAACAAATAGTGGGATTGCTTGCCACATTATTAAGCCTCCATGGCTGAAATGGCGGGCATGTTAGGTGACAAGTATTTGAATCCATGACACTCAGATTGCGAGTCGAGCACCTTAACCTTAACCATAAAAGGTCCCATATGAACGAAAAACAAAGTACGAAAATAGCATGAACCTAACAAGGTGGTGTTAGAAGTGGGTTTCATCAGTACTTTACGAACCGAAACCCAACAATGAAAGAACAAGTTGAAGTTGGAACCACACCAACAGAAGTCGACGAAGTAAAGACAGGAAAGAGAGTAAGTTTCCTTTTTGTTTTCATCTTGTCTGTTTTGATCTTGACAGCGGTTCAGTTCATTGTTTAAGAGCAGAGAATTAACACTAGCGTGGATTAGAATTGGAAATCACTGACAAAATCTTAATTGGTAACGATTTAGAACTTGTTAAGATACAGTTAGAAATTAATTAAAGAGGCCTACATTCGCGAGCGTATGCAACATCTCTCTGCCACGCAATCCCAACATGTCCAATTGTGACACCAGAAAAATCATGAATAACACACACACACACACAAAAACCGAAAACTGTCTATATCACTGCTTGGGACTTGCAAAAATGTGTCTTTGTATCAAATCTCAAGTAATAGTTCACGAAACCCCAAATTGTGCTTTCCTTGCTAAAAAATTGAGCAAAAGACAAAAACTGTCAATGTCTCTGTTTGGCACCTGCAAAGAGTATCGTTGTACTAAATCTCACATAAGTTGGTCGAAATAAAACATTTTCCGCAAAAAAGAGGAAATTAATTCTTCCTAATCGTAAGCCTAATAAAGTAAACTTACACCTAAAATGTCAGTTGTTTGTTTGGAGTGTGTATATATAATTTTAGCAGACAAATGTCAAAAAAGTAAGACTATGTTAATAGCGTGAGAGTAGACTTAGCACAAAGCTGTGAATTTTCTCTTAATCAAGATCCTTCAAGAGAATAAAATTATTTTATTCCGAGATATATGTGTGTGTGTGTATGTTTGTATTAAATGCGATTTTTGTTTGGAGCGTAATATCTCCAGCACAATAAACATTTCTTAAGATACTGTGAAAATCTAAAATTCTATGCCCCTTCTTATCAACGCATTATTGCTGAAACTGTCTAAAAATGTAGTTAAAAAATAAACTGCAGTTAACAGTTGTATAGCTAAATGGTTTTGCTAAGATATAAGCTAAAAATTGTTATCATCTCATATAGCCTTTTACATTTTTCAATACGAGGAAGAGTTAGAGACTGACGTGCAATTCAGATCGATGTTACAAATATTAACACCTGCCACACGAGCTAGCCCAGAATCTTGAAGTGGGTAAGAAACGTGCGTCATTCTGGAAAGGTTTGATTTGTTTTGATTAGACAAAAAGAAGTCGTTTGATATTAATTTTGAGGTTTAGGTCGCTGGACCAGACTCGTGACCTGACCCTAGACCATGAGAGCCACCATGGAGAATTTAACTTGTAAAAAAAATATTTAAAATGTCATTTCTACAATGAAGAGTAAATATAAGAAGGATGGTATAATACCCAGTAAGGTAACACCACAGTATAATCCATACAGATTTCATCCTGCCATATTTTCATTAATATTTAGTTGTTTTTTGTTTGTTTTACAGTTTTACAAGTTGTGCCGAGTTTCATTCATCGAGATCTATTGAAATAACCGTAAATCACCAGTTTACAGAATGACCCCCCTGTTGACCATCCTAGGCTCGGTACTAAAATATGCTGGGCTGGCTCTTGTGGCAGATATTAAAAACATCAAGACAAAGAGAAAAATTAGACACTGTGATTTCATTTAAACCCAGATTAGGGTGTGTCTTTGAAGAGTTTGAACAGTAGCAATGGATATTTGTTACGTGAATGTTATGGATTCTTTATCTGTTCGTGTAACTCCGTAGTTCTTGTTCTGCTTCGTAAAACAAAACCTGCACTGAAACTAACAAGTTTGAATATTGTGGTGTATTTGGGGAAAAGGATTGGCACAGACTAACTTCCATCTTCACTAAGTCTGCTCTCTTACTTAATTGAAAGACTTCAGTTCAAACAACTTTGCAAACACCACTAGAAATATCACAAATTAGTTGGTTGGTTGTTTTGAATTTTGCGCAAAAGATGCACGAGGGCTATCTGCGCTAGCCATCCCTAATTTAACAGTGTAAGACTA